TATTACTTATGGGACTAATAAACTAATCAAGCCATTAATATTTCGAGGCTGTACATTTGACATTATTTATTACACGAATATGTAAATACTGAATTGAATATGTTTAGTAATTTTTATTAGCGGGGAATATTTAATACAACAAAATATATATGAAATTTACAGAGTCAAAAATGCAATAAGGAATAATGTACCAGTGAACCAAACAGTTGACAAAGGAAAATGTTTGAACATTTTAAATACACCCAATCAAGGTCCAAACGTCTTACAGAGCAATAAAATCAATTATCCTAGCACTTGGCAGCCATTTCCAGCGGACAATGTGTCAAAAAACTTTACTTACGGATCTATGTACCATTATCTAGTCTATCTAGACAAGGCTTTGGTAAATTTATAAAATAGTATGTGTTGGTTTTGAATGATTTGCATCGTGTATCACTTTTACATACTCCATAACAACACCGTTTTGTTGTTCCTTTTCGTACAGATAACATAATTATATTGGAGCATAAAAATTTTTTTCTGATAATTTCGACTTACTTTTTTTTTTCACTTTTTTTGAAATCATATTTTAATTTTCAAAACATGAGTCGCGGGCTCTTTAACATGGTTGTTTACAAAAAACAGTACGAAAAAGATGGCTGATACTGATGCATGTGCACAAAACATTTTTGTGATAAAAAGACCTATTTGTCTAATGATAGTACCACAATATTCCGTCCGACCGCAGCGCCGAATGAAAATTATCGATAATCAATTTAATTCATGTATCAGCTAAAGGCAACAGTCAAAATAATTCATTTTCACAAAATACCAATATAAAGTGAAACGACGTGGTACGCCGTTTTACTTTTTATTAATATTCCTTGAAAATTAGTTGAATTGTTTGTTGACAATTTTTATTCAGCGCTGAGGTCGGGCGGATTTTTGCGGAACTGCATATATGGTGACGGCCTAATAGAGTCTTGATGATTCCTCTTTTAGTCGATTGTATTTCAAATCATTTTATATAGTAGACAATGGAAGTCCGAACTAGTGGAATTCATCATGAAACATTGTCAATCACCTTCAAACAAATGCATATATGGTAATAACGGTAATGGCAATGGAAATGACGGTAGAATTTCATATGAGCGGCAATGGCCGGCACTGAAACCAGAAAAACGGAAATTATCTGACAATATATCCTCAAATTCTCTGGTATTTTGGTTTTTAAGCTAATAGAGTGTTTCAAGATTAATGAAAGAGGTAATGTTTGAATACATTTTATTCATATACATACATATTTGTTAAGAAAATAAAATATATTGAATCCATATAAAAATAATTAAAGACAATGAGGTACTAGTAGAGAAAAATATATTTTGAATCAATTAAGTAAGCAAATATGTAAATGTACATCCACAAAGCTCAACAATAAATATAAAATAATATATTAATTTTCCAGTTGTTAAAAATAGAAAGTAAGGTAGAGAAAATTAATATTTTAATAATCATCACAATTTATAAAAATAAAATTGATGGAAATTGTTAACTATCAAATATTTTCATTGTTCAACATGAATATCTTTTAAGTACTGAACAAACTTTTTTGACATGAATTAGTGATAATTTTGCCATTATTGCTTCTTTGTGAAATACAAATTGTTTAATAACATTTCCTCAAAATGGAAATTGACTATTTCAACAACAAAAAATTGATGCAATAATGCCAAGTAACTTTAGGTTTAATGAAAAAGGTGTTGAATATGAAGCTGTAGCAGATTTGGATAAAATTTTTAAGGAAAGTTTGAAATACTTCAAAACTGAGAAAATGAAAATTTTAGAGCGGAAACATTTCAAAATGTTATTTTTCAGAAAAGTTTATTTCAGGGTTCAGACACAGGCGTAGCATAAGGCTTAAATTTTTCTCTAAAAAATGACGACAATTACTTGAGAATCGTATAATAAATCTGTAAAATATAAGCAGTTTTGCCAGATTTCAAAATAAATCTGAGATATACATACATCCGTCAACCATACATTTTTTAAATTGTATATAACTTCAATTGAATAATAATGAAATATAATATTTCCAATGAATCACATATTTGAGAGTATGTACAGCTTGTCAAATCTAGGAAGAGACATGAGAATTGCTGCTGTGTCTCTCTTTAGCTAGTACTGTATTATTGAAAGAGAGAGAGCAGACATTTTCAAGTCTCTTCCTATATTTGACAAGCTGTATCTTCCTGTTGAGGTATATTCGACGACTATGCCTTTAAATGTGACACACAAAACCAACGTCCTGTGTTCTGTGTTAAGTAAAAAAAGTTGTTTTTACAGTGAAAGTAGAACCGACCAATTTGGCATCTTCAGGAGATGAAGTAGAATTTCTAACTCTAAACCTAGCCTCTATTTATATCTATAGTCTATTTCAAAAGAGTGTAGAGTAATAAATCATGAAATGTCATAAAATTTGCCTGAATTTCGTTGTCGTCCATGGGCGTAGGCAAATCTTAGGATTATTAAACTTAATAATTAAAGTAAATTAAAAATTACAGACATAGATAATAATAAAAGGCCATTTTTGGGAAGTAATTTGGTCTAAAACTAAGTACCTACATGTATTTAGGTAAGTAAAATTTCTTAAAAAAAGATTAAGATTAATTTTAGTGGTTCTTGTAAACTTATTTAATATGCAATTTGGGTTCATATACTTGAGCATGATTTCTCAAAAAAGGGTTAACACTTAGTTCCGAGGTGCCATGTCATTATAATAATCCCTTTTTGACCCTGCCCACCAATCATGCAATACCTATTAAACCCAGGTAATTAAGAAAAAGGGTTTAAATATATTGTAATGGTGTCTTAAACATTCGAGTTATAATAGTAATTGTTNTCAAATTGTAATAACGTATCCAGTAAAGTTCTTGTCGTTTTTGTGAATAAATTGATTTAAAGTCCCCACAAGTGTTTCAATACGTAAAGTTCGTTCGTGTGTGTTTGTGAGTATTTCCCGATTTCGGTTCGTATATATTTTATTGTTACATTTTATATTTTTTTAATAACACTGTTCTGCTGTATTAAATTTTTATTTCCTTTAATATAATTTTTATGAATGCATATTCTTTTGGCAATTATCCCACTAGCGCGCCTCTGGCTCAGTATTTATCCGTCGATAACAATGGACAAATCCCTTAAAACAGGGTGATACCTACCTGCTCTTTATGAAACGACATAATTTTGCAATGCGGACTAGGGAAGTGACAGAATTTATTGACGGATCACCCTGTAGCGCTTTTGAATACTTAATGAGATTTTATTACTCTACACTCTTTTGAAATAGACTATAACAGGGTACACTTTCACTATTAGACGAATCAATAATTTCGGGTAAAAAGTCACAGGGAATTTTCTCGCGAAAGTTCCCGCTAATTTTTAACAGAGCGATTCATATTATGGTAAATAATGGGCTGTTTGGAATTAGTCACTGTTCATATTTTTCATGCCACACTTATTTCCAGACTTTTAAAAGCATTCAAAAATAGTTGCCATTAATTCTATGGCCATTTTCTAAGGTATGTTGAGAAAAACTAGATTTTTTGGTCTCCAAAATCGGATATGTGCTGCGTGTTTAGATTCGTTCTACCTTTTGCTATAGGTCCATATTTGGTTATTGACACATTTTCAAAAAACACACTTTAATGTGAGATTTACACTTGAAAGTTTACGAAACCTCGACATGTGTTTTTGTTTTAAGATAACATCTTCCGGTGTCACAATACTGTTTGTAAAATTGTGTGTCGTGCTTTTATAGTAATTTGAATCATTATGAATATTACTACCTGCCAAATTTCTACATGATTCATTCATTACCTAAACTATTTACCAATCTAAGAACAACTCATATGACTCGAGAATAAAGAATATACTTTTTAACTGAGCTACCAATTTTACCTACTTTAAGGATCTGTCCTAATCACCAATTTCCCCCCTGCAAACTGAATTCAATAAAGGGGAACGATTTAAATCAATTTGATAATCGAGCAGAAATCTCGATTTACTAATATTGATTTCTAAACATTTCAAACGCCATACTCATGCCCCTCTGTCGAAAGATGATTCGCAAATGTTGAATTGGTTTTTCCATTCAAAAAACTACTACGCTTTTCAATTCTTTTGGAAAATTTTCTTTCGGTTTGTCCGATATCAAATTTTGGATAAGAACCATAAGTCAACTTGTATACTCCCGATATATCCAACACTGAAGTTTTATCTTTATTGTTTGTGATGAATTTACTGGAAATTATTATTTGTTCTGTAGGCTACGTCCAATTCTTTGTTTTTAAAAAAAAACGAGCAAAATAAGTTAGAGTTACATAATGTTTAGTATCATTCTTTGAAACTGGATAGACCTGGTTCAGAGCTTGTTTGTGTAATTTTTTAGAAAAAATTGAGTCAGTAATATCCACTTTGTAACCATTGCTGACAACAATATGTTTTATGAAATAGTCTGTGAATCATACTATAGAATGCTGCTACTTTATGTTGATATGGATGTTCTTAAGACACTTTATTGTGAGATATTCACTAAACAGTTTACAAAAACCCAACACTTGTTTCCCTATACAATAGCTTCTTCGGGCCATAGCTTCACGTGTAAAAACTCACACTAGAAACCTACTCCCAAGTATCACTAATTTTTCATGAACTGCTGGAAGCTAGCTTTGCGATTTTTCGAAAGATATATCCAGTTTTTAGAATACGCAGTACTGTTTCATTTCATTGAAAACATGCATACTTTCGTTCTCAAATAACAACGTAGGTACAACCCAAAAATAGAATAAATTAATTTAAATATGTCACAACGTTTCGATTGTTAGTATCCACAATCGTCTTCGGATAATAACTGTGATAACCGTGAAAAAATCAAAAAGATTAACCGAAAATAACAATTTTACTATACAAAAAACTGAAATTACAAAGAAATAACAAAAGCAACAAACAAAGAAATAAAAATTTAAATAATAAAAAAATCTGATATTTCATCCAAGCAAAAAAAATTGTTTTAAGGTGTTTCCTGAAGCTTCCCTGAAAATTTCAGCATCATCATCTACACCTTTTGAATAACGATTGAACCACCTTTCACTAGTCATGAAGTATTTGATGAAATAATAATAAATAATAAAAAAATCTAATATTTCATCCAAGCAAAAAAAATTGTTTTAAGGTGTTTCCTGAAGCTTCCCTGAAAATTTCAGCATCATCATCTACACCTCTGCCTGGTATTGTTTAATGGGAAATAGATATTCATCATAGAAAAAAAACAAAACAAGCAACTCTCTCCTCAACGCACGTTTCACCAAGTAATTTGGTGTACCTAGGTAGTGAACTAGATTAGTTCAAGAGGAGATGAGATAGATTACTTCATCTCCTGATGACCCAACGTGTTTGGGAAATGCGCATCGAGAAACGTGTTACAGTTCTGGTGTTTGTGAACAGTGCTTGTTCGGGACTTAATCTAAGAAATACTGAAGTAATTCAAATGATTTACTTCTCCTCAATGTGAAGCTCTAGAATCTATCTAAAATTGGAATTCAAATCATGAAGTATAATCTTGGAATGACATAATATGTAAAAGTTAGAATTCAAGTAAAACTTGTGTCAATTGCAAGTTTTTCAGTATTAATTCAAAACCAAGTGTACTTTACCTTCACAATTATTTTCAATGTTATCACCCGTCAAGCCCAAAATTTCACTATAAGTATTAATCAATAAACGTCCATAAAAGAAATCGATACCGGATTTCTTTATATATAAATATACTCTTTCTAAAAAGTCTATCACATAGAAGGAGGTACACGAAAAAAATCAACGCAATCACGCTATCTCAACATCTGCCTAAAATCGTCCAGCTTATACACACTATTCGACAATCTACCGAATGCATTTAACAACGAAACGATTTCGTTCCTGTGCAGCTGAAATTCTTTTTTGTTGTGAGAGTCGAGCGACACGTGATACTCGAACTTATCGAATTTACCGCTGAACAGAATTTTGAGGGCCGTGCCCAATCCCTGCGTCTGCAATTTACCCCAAAGACGACATTTGTCGCAACCAACACAATCCATAATCCTGGTTATGTTTCGGAAGTGCTGTTTGAACTCGTACTTGAGTTTCTCTGCCTGCTGCCTGTTTCTGAACATGGTAGTCTCGTCGAAATGATCCGGAAATGACTTGATCACTTTGAGTAAGTCTTTCATAGCCATTTGAGTGTCCCAGTCTTCGGAGTCATTACCTTGAAATAAAAATTTTCTTTGCTCAATTATTTGATCTTTTTGATGATACATAATGAATGACTACACACTATACACATATACACTTTTTTCAACAAGTCGTTTCTAATCTTTCTCTTGAAATAAGTGACAAAATAAGAAATAAGAATGATTTCAAGAATTGGCTACAACTGATTTGTCGATTTTTCCAAGGCCAACGAAAACTATCAGAGTCTCAAGGTCAGCTGAGGACCCCAGAGAGCCTTTAGCAATGTATCTCTAATAGTGAGTAGAAAATCAACATACAGGGCAAAGACATTATTCCCAATTTTCTAAAAAGTGGTTGGCAGTGAGTGTCAAATGGAGCTCCAGCTATAATTCTCATGGCTTTTTTCTGTAAGTGAAAGGCTCTGATCGCATAACTAGATCTACCCCAAAGGAGTATTCCATATGAAAGATGATAGTGAAAAAGTGAATGATACGAAATGAGAAATGCTTTTTTCAACTGGCGAAGTAAAAACAACTGTGTCGAGAGTTTTCTCAGAGATGGTCAATATGTGATTCCCATCGAAGGGACTCATCTATAATTATACCTAATAGTTTAACTTGAGCTTTAATTGTTACCCTGGTATTAGAAGATATAGTTATCTTCTGAGTTTTTTCCGTTTAGTTTCAGTTTGTTGGATGTAAACCAGTATTCTGCTTTGTATTCGGTTTCTTTGGCATTTACAAGTAAATTTGAGATATCAGAATGTGATTGTAACATTGTGGTGTCGTCGGCAAAGCAGATTACTGTACTGGGTAAAAGGTAATAGAATAAATCATTTATATAGATTACAAAAAGGGATGGACCCAAGATGGATCCCTGAGGTATCCCATTATTCATAGACCTTTCATCTGATGAGTTACCATTTATGTATACTGCCTGCTTTGTAGATGAGAGATAAGACTATAAGAATTTTAAAGCTGATCCTCTGATACCATAAAATTCAAGTTTCCCTATTAGTAAATGATGGAAAGGAGGCATTCACATTACCTCAATCGAAGATACAGTATCAATCAATCAAACATTCATTGAATCAGTTTTCCTTCACAATCACATTAGACAAAAAAAAATATATCATCATAAAATACTGGCTGATTCAACAGATCAAACAAACATAAAAAACGTCAATATAAGACATAAAACATACATTAAAAAAGTTAATAATTTACAATTAAATTAGGATTCAAGGAGAAAGTCATCCACAGAGTAGTATGCTTTTTGCAATAGAACAATCTTGAGTCGCCTTTTAAAGACATTGATATTTAAGGATTTAATCTCCTCACTGAGCTTATTATATAGCTCAACCTCACAGCACATGGGGTGATTCTTTGATACTGTCAATCTACTATACGGTTGATGTAGTTTCTAGGAATAATTGAAATATATATTCGGTGTTCACTTGAAGATGCACCAACCAGAATTCTGATTACCTTTTCTGAATAACAAAAACTTCATCAGCTTTGGCTGATAAGCTCCACTGTTCAAGACCATGGGAAATTACTGACTGAATTAAACTGTGGTATAAAAGCTTGAGAAAATCAAGAGAGACTGTTTGTTTTAACCGACGAAGTAAATATATATGTTTACTGAGCTTCAGTTTGACACTATCAACAAGGAACTTCCAGGTAAGTTTATTAACAATATCAACACCTAACAATTTAGTACAATAAACTTGCTGTAAAGTTTCATTATTTAATCTAACCAAATAGCTTTTATCAATTGTTTTATTTTTAGTAACAAAGTTGAGCATTTGAGATTTAGCAGAATTTAGCAGCAGGCCATTTATAGAACACCACTAAGAAATTTGATCAGTTGCTTCATTAGCTTTGACAATTACTTCGGGCATAGTCCCCACATATACCAAGATGTTAGTAATACTCGTGAGAACTGATAAAACTCAAAATAACTATCCAATAGTAAATGGAGAGGCAATAGAAACTGAAAAACACAGGGACAATTACAAATGAAAAAAGAAGCAATGAACATTAATACAATCTGGCGACCTGTACAAGTTGTACAAGAGAAACTAAGCTAAGCCCACCAATAATAATATAAAACCGGATTCAAATACAAGCATTGTATAAGACAACATATTACTGAACATAACGTTTAAGTAAAGCTCAATGGCTAATAGAAAGCTGTGTTTTTTAATAGCTCCAAACATCCTCAATTGATACTGCTAAATATTATTAATGGATGGCTGGTAGATGAATGTGTAAAATCGTATTCGTTACATAAATACTAAATACGGATCAACACTATGAATTTGAATAGACAATACAGATTATGCAGAGTTAATCACTCAGGTGGTATTACATTTGAAAAATGTACTATATATGACTAACAAAAAATGTTTTTCTCCCTAGGATAAAACTCTTCAATGACTTGTTTGCAATCAACAATTGTTCATAAAAATCCCAATCTCTTATCTAGTTTGTTTACTTAAACAAGTCATAAAATTGGGACAGTTCCCACTGGTGATAACCAAAGGGTTTTCTAATCTTCTAATAGAAAAGATAATGAAAATTATCAACAGAATAAATGATTGAGATAACCCGTAATCTTTTTTCCACCAAATATAATTTTTCAATGATAATTGGTAACCATATCCGAAAACATTATCTTCAAAACAATTTCATTACTGAAGATCAGATAACGAAATATTTGCACTGTCAAAAGTAACCGAAAATTCAAACTGTTGCCCAAAATAATACAACAAACAGCATGGACAATATTTGTTTTCAAATCTAAAAATAATATTCCACATTACTTACCAGTATAATATTCCTCACTCTCCAAATAAGGCGCCACCTTAGCAAGTGCTCTCAGCTCAACAAGATACACGAAATACAAGTTTCTCAACCAGTTGGGACCCTCTCCGTTGGTCATTTCAGGCGAAAATCTCTTCTGGAACTCCACCAGATTCGGCCCCCATTTTCCTTTAGGGTCAGCGAGACTCAAACCTTCCGACAGCAAATAGTTTGCACACAAGTGCGTATTGATGCTGGCATGTAACCCTGATACGACCCTATAGAAAACCCTTTGTTCAAGACAGAGTTCGTTCAGCTTGCCACTCTGTATGTAGGAGTTGAAATCAAATGATCGCTTCGGTCGGAAACAGTTTTCGAGGTAGATGCTTTTCCATATTCGTTGAGCTGACACGCCTGCATATCTGTAAGCAAAACTTCACAACAATTAATTTTTACTTCCTACTATTAATAGTAGAAACTATCATATTTTTTCAGAAAATTATTATATTACAAAATTTTTTAACTGTCATGGTGAAGTTTTGCTATCACAGTAGCTTTTTCATAGTGAATAATATATTGAAAACTAATTCTGGTCAGTATGTTATTCACCACAAAGAAGCTACTGTGATAGCGAAAAAGTCGTGATATTTTTGTGTGAAGATCAAATCGTAAGGTATAGTTTATGAAATTACTATGGATCTTCATCAAGTAACGGGTGAGTCAATCAGAAAACTAATATAGTTGTATCCTAATTTCTGAAGATGATAATGATCCTAAGAAAACTGATGCAGGTGAAAATGCCATCTTGGTTTCTCTTGAAGATATTTCTAATGATTCCTTATTAAATTTTTTATTATTAATACATCAACTATATCTCCATTATTCCAACAAATATAGCAAATATAATCAATGCCTCTAAATAAGAGAACAATCATAATATTGTTGAAAGTTTCTTATTTGAATAGTTGCATATGCGGTAGCATAAAAAATTTCAAGTTTTTTAGCATTTTTTTAGTGTTACTTGACAACTACACTAAGTGATCTTATTTTCAGCATTTTTCTGGAATGAATATTTCAATTATGAAGTTTTATCTACTTTATTTAGGAGCATCTTTTGAATTTCATAAACTACATCTCACGATTTGATCCCCACAAACTTTCTGGAGATCAAATCGTATGGTGTAGTTTATATTACTATGAATCTTCATCAAGTAACGGTCAAATAAATCAGAAAAAAAGCATCTTTTGAACTTCATAAGAAACATAAAACAATCTTTAGTGAAGTTACTAGCACTATATGTATTACCATGTTTGATGAACTAAAATTTGAAAATTAAAACTACTCATGATAATAATTTTCAAAAATCCGACTAAGAACTTTTTAGAGATGCGTTTCCCTACACAGTCAATTCGTTAGTTGAACTGGTTGAACACTTTTGAAACAGTTAATAAATTGGTTCATGGCCCACAGTTCCAATAAATGAGGTATTTATAATAACTTCTTTCTTGTAATTACCAGTTATTTTATATAAGTTCATAGAAATATTTATTAAATTGTTTATTAAGCAAAAAAAACAGCCATTACACTTCTGATTTTCAGTTGAAATACAAACATTTTACATAATAAATAATTAAAGTAAATGACACCTTTAACAGGGCACTGAACTGTCCAGTGAGTAATTCTGTTTTGAATGTGTATCATAAAAAATGGAAATTTTCTGGGTAATTTTTTGTAAAAATGTATTTGTCCTTTCATTATCGAATGGACATTTTCATCAACTAAAAGTTTACTAATCTCAAGACATTGAATGGATTATAAGATATTCAATAAGATGTGTCACCAGTGAAAAATATATGAACAGATCTACAAAATTGTCTAATGTGTTGCAATTACAGTTGAATAATGAATGAATAAACGTACCCGGTATATCTCTCCGGATTCAGTAACAAATCGACATATTCAGCCTCCTCGTCGTTCTCATCTATAGCGCAAAAGTTATCGAGGGCATCATCGTATGCATCCCAGAGTTGCATATCTTTTTGAGTTTTTTCAGAAAGCGTCTTATTTAAATAATCTAACTCATTGTGATGTGAAGTGCAGTCTTCGTTCTGTTGTTCAGAATATTTGTCACTGGGTGTGGTTTCTATGTGATCCTTCGGAAACCCATTATTTTTTTCAGTTTCTTTCATTCCTATAGGGATTTCATCTGCAGAGCACGCCTCCACATGACAGAAACGCATTGCGCATTTGCTGTCGTCTGACCAAAACGGACATGGTCTTTTCAGGTTTACCTACAAAAAGGCAATAAAAGTATGTGTATTTCTTGATATCTGAAGTATTTCAAATAGATGTAGATATATGAAAAAAAAATAATCTGAAGAAACAATTTCAACTGCCATCTTCATGACATATTCATTTTGAAAATTCAATATCATCTCTAATTTTGTCGATAGAAGAATGTTTTTTGAAATATAACATTTTCCAAACATATTCAATTCTCCAAACCAATTATTAGATTCAAAATAAATTCCATGACACTCTCCTGAAACTCAAAATTAAGGTGAAACTCAAAATTAAGGCTTTGTTTTATCATTCTTTGCATAGGATAAAAATCTTTTAAAAACACTTGTTTAGAATTATGGTTACAGCTCATCAAATATTCATTTACATCTAAAACAAGCTACAAATGAAGAAAATTTAGGATTTTTAGCTCTCTTTTTTGAATATTGGTGACTTTCTTGAGCCATAAGTACACGTAAAATTTTATCAATTTCGTGGCAGTAAGTTTCCCTGAACAAAACTCCAATGTGTTTATAGTATAAGCCCTTAATATTATCCACACAAATAAATATTTCATGGGCAAAAGAATTGTCAATATTAGTTTTTAATCAATTTTCATGACAATATTAATGACAACATAAACCTGCCAATTCCCTGATTAACCTTATGAATGTACAATATCTTTTCAAGTTTTTGGTGAAATCGCAATTGGTTACACAAAGCCAAATAGTAATTAAAAGGAGATAAGCATCACTAATTATCAACTTTACCTTGTAAAATCTAAAATAGTCCTTCAGCAACAAGCTTTTGAGCCTTGGATATATTTTCACGTTATTGAAGTAGTCAACCGTATCGATGTTGCAGGTACATTCATCAATTTTTCCGGATAATTGACAAAAGCAATCATCCTGTTTGTCTACCTTGAAGTAGGCCAAGCACTGGTTGATCACCAGCACACTAATAAACACGTTCAAAATACTTCGGTGTATCATCATTGGATTTGATTATGATCATCGCGACAGAGAAATTTAGGAAATTGTGGCAAATTAACCGGTTTTAACTCATATTTATACTATTTCATTAACAAACAGTAAATGTACACGTGTGATCAGCTGTAGAACTGTCAGAATTTCACAGTTAGGTTAGAGTTGGAATTTCTATTGGTGTGAAATTAACTGGAACGCGGCGTTGCCGTCTTCAGAATAATATCGGAGGCCCACCAACATTTTCATATTTGTTTGTAGGTTTCGATTTGTAGGTAAGTTGTAAGTCACCGTAGATTTGACATCGCTGAACCGATCCGTATGCAGGGTTGCCAGTATGTTACAATTGTAATAAATTTATTACTTTTCGTTGGTTACGTTATTATATTTTTGCTAAAAACATTTCCTAGAAGTTATTTGGGAAGGTACATGCAATACTTACAATAATGATTTCAAACCTGAAGTGGAACGGGTTTAAAATTCGAATATGGAGGACAATTTTGAGAGTTACAGATATTTTTGAACAGTTTTAAAAGCAATCTTCCAAGTTTACAATTATTTGAGAAAAGGAACAAGGTGATTCCCAAAATGTCATACCAACAAAGGAAATATATTTTCATTCAAATATATCATTAAACAAAAAATATATAAATTCATTGAGATGAATTGACTTTTCACCTAATTTCATTCAAAGGCAGTAAACTTTTTGGGCCAAATTAATAATTATTTGTCCTCCGTATACCTTTTATATAAAAAAACGGTTAGATGGTACCGTACGATTTTTTCATTTGGCAACACTGTCGATGATTGTGTGGTGCAAGGTGCATGCATTTCTCTACTTTCACGGAGAAAAACCACCCGATGAGTCAATATAAATCTTTGATACGTGAAATTTATCACGTCCGAAAAATGGGTCAAATTTTTAATTCGTTTGATTATAGGATTAACACAAAGTTTAACAATAAATTATAAAGGAGGATGGGGGCGTTAAGAAAATATGTTACAAAACATTTTTATTATTCTTCTAAATTTAGAGTTTATGAAAAAAAATTTGAAAAATGCTTGTCCATATAAAATTTTGAATGACAATTAGGAGCATAGATTCAAAAAAATAATAAATTATACGAAGTAAAAACAATTGATTTCCTCTTGAAATTTAAGCTTATTCAGCCCTACACAAGAGTATGATTACTTTGCCAAATTTCTTGAACAGCTTGAACAGAACAGTAAAAAATTTGGATTTCTCATATCCTTAAAATATTTTTTCAAAGTACAATAGTTCGTGAACTGATGTTTCACATATTTAATCAACTTTACAGGTAGGTATAATTGACGTTAAAAGAATCTATTGAAAACACTTTATTTTGCGTATACCTACTCCGTTGAAGGGAAAAATTATAAAAAGAAAAGAAAATCCCTTTTCGGCATGTTCGTAATCCATACCTAACTGAATTTGAATTTAACACACAATAAACATAATAACCCTCTAAAATAATAATTAGATTTTCTGAAAAAAAATCCCAAGTCTGTTTCTTTCTTTTTTTTCGTTTCCTAAGGCAAAATACTAGAATCAACCTATTATAAGAAGGCACCATGAGGTTTGTGTTTAATTTAGTTATAATGAGAAGATACTGAAGACATTTCTGAATTTTTTTTACATGGAAATTTATAGTCGATTAATATGTAAAATCACTGTAGCTGGTTGGTTTGACGTGGTTGGTTTGCTCCACTCACTCAATCGACCGCTGTGTGAACCGGTGATTCGAACAGAAAGACCGGACGATCGATTTTCACTTTCTATCGTCCAACCCCTGCTAGGAATTACACGTTAAAAGGTAAGACCTCGTTAGTTCTTAGCTGGCACAAGTTTCGACTTTTGAGAGTTGTCGGGTTACGGAAAAACAGATTTTGATTTTTTTTTTAATTTCAAACAGATCGGTAATTTCTTCGTAAATAATTCATATCGCTAATAAATTCAAGATTTATGTTTGTGCATATGTGTTTTATTTCTTTTTTCCTGGATATTTCAAAATAAAAAAATCATTCAACGAAATCATTTTTTGTGGAGGAAAGTGAGTTTTTTATCCACATTTTTTAGGAATTTCTACCTTCCACAATCTGAAAAATATGAAAATTATAATAGATAACTTTATACAAGTGTAGAAAGGGCAAACTTTTTAGTTTACCCCGATAGGTTAGGTTAGGTCCAAAGTGACTGGTTTTGGTGAATCATCACCTGAAGGCAAACGTTTGCTAAACTGCTCATGGGGGGTTTATTCCTCCACCTGAGGCAGATTCTGCGTACGCCGCTCAAGAATTTGGGGCAAGGCGGTGTCATAAGGTACCCCTCTCTTGAGGAGACGACTCAGTCGTTTCCTGGCTACACCACCAAACCTTCTTTTTAGGTTCAGTTATTGGATCCGGAGTTGGAGAGTTGAGAAGCTCTCGCTCCTGATCTAAATTTACAGGGAGGTCGGTTGGAGTCGTAAACTCGACATCCATCTCCTCTGTAGACTCTCTCCTGAATTAAATTTACAGGAAGGTCCGTTGGAGTCGTAAACTCGACATCCATCTCCTCTATAGACTCAGCGTCAGAAAGAATTTTTAAGTTTACTCTGTCCATAAAAGTCCCACGAGTAGCTAGGGAAAGAAAATCAATCACGACAGAGCTCCGCATTACCGTGACAAGGCGGTGCTACGACGAGAGGGCGCCCGGTATCTCGAAGGTTCCGTAGAGACAGCTGATAGGTTCAGTGTCATTTATCCTCTCGGCACGGGTACACACACCTTAGGATTAAGCTATCGTTGGGATGCCATTCCAGAACCACAAGTGATTCTGTCATTCCCGTATCCAGCGGGGCTACGTGGAAGCAGGCATCCGATGGCCGGTTTGCTCAACCCCCACATCCCAAGCCAATGCACTCGCCAAAAACAGCATGCACAGTGGTTCAGGCAGTGAAAGTTGAACAAGGACAGCCAACCCCGATAAGTTATTGTGTGAAATCAAAGTATTTTTCCCAATGAAAAATGTTCTATTTATCAGTAACTTGTCGAATTTAACAATTTTGCCTATCAAGAAATTGCTAAGAAATAATACAATACAAAATTCGTCTCCGTCTTCAGAAATGGACAAAAAAATTCAAAGATATTTGCAGTAGTTATTCCTTTCTTGATTATTTATTTCTCAACTTCTTCGACATATTGTATAAGAATAAAATACCCCAAAAAGGTCGATAAAAAAATCAGTTCAATGAAAATTTGGTTCATCCTACAGTTGGAGCAAATCAAATTTGTATTGCCAGATGTTACTAACTTTCCTTAGATTTCATGATAGAATTTCACTACCACAGGTTGAAATTTTGTAAATTGAGCTTTTAATGATTTTACTATAATAATTTCTTGAATTAAAAGGGGTATATTTTTAGCGAGATTAGTTTTTGGGGACGAAAGTACCTACCTTGTTTGTATGAAGATTAAGAAAGTAAAACGTTTCTTTCTTAAAATTAAAAAAAAGTGATAATTTTATAGAAAATGTACACCTCGTTGGACAGAGTTACACGACCGACCTTGGTAATTGGATTGGATGTTAAGAACAGATACAAATATAAGTACATGAATTCATGAATATTAGGTAAATGTAAATATATAATGTTACATAATGAACATTGATAGCCATTTCGTGTTGGTTTCAATGACTTGTTTACACAAAGCTACATGTCAATTACCCGATAGAGCCTTGGTAGAATTCGTCCACACTATAATAGGGCCTCCCAACAAGGTATTCTTTCACTTCCTTTCTGAATTTCTTTCCATTATATATTCGCCTTAAATTAATGGGAAGGTGGTTAAATAACTTCTTGCTATTGAAAATAATAGAATTTTGTGTAAGGGCTAGAGAAGGTGTGGAAAGGAAAACGAAGTTGAGGCGTTACTAAATTGATTTTTATATTTTTTGTGGATAAGACACACTGTTTCCAAAATAAAAAGACATACTAAGGTTAGAATTTTTTGCTTCACAAATAATGGGTGGCATGAATCCCTGTAGCTAGCCTTGCATAAATATCTGATGGATCTTTTTTGTAGAGAGAATACCATATTGTAACGAAATTTTGCACAATTTCTCCAGAAAAAAATTCCATAACGTAAATAGGACTCAATTTGTGCAAATTAAACTGATCTTGTGATAACTCTCTTGCAACAACTCTCACTGCTTGACATCCTGCTGCTAGTCTTTTACATAAGTAGTCGACATGGAAATCAAATTTTAGATTTTCATCAATGAAGAGCCCTGAAAATATGTTTTTCTCCAAATTTTCAATTTTTACATTTTCCAAGTGTACTTCCCCTATGTTACATCTAAACGTGACCACATTTGTTTTATCGATGTTGAATGATGAAAGATTGGAATCACACCACTCTTTAACCCTTCTTATGTCGACGATGATTTGATCAAGTAAATTGGAGGCGGTATTGCTATGCCAGAGGATAGTGGTGTCGTCAGCGAAACATGTGAAATTACCACTTATGTCAACATGGACTAGGTCATTGACATAAATGAGAAACAACACCGGTCCCAAACGTCAGAGACGTTCGCTGTCTGTTAAAAAAATGAGGTGAATTTTCATTTTCTCATCAAATATTTATTCATTCATCAGGTTCTATTTTGCCTCCTTCAAAGTAGTCCCCCTCAGATAGAAATCTGTGCTAGCGATTTTGGAATGTCCTTAGACTCTCTCTGCGATTCAGTTTTTATCTTCCAATCGTCGCAAAACGTCTCTTCAATCTTTGGGAAAAGTTACAGGGGATCAAACCTGGTGAATACGATGGCCGAGTCATAATTACGGTATTTTGGTATTGTTTTTGGCCAAAAAATTACGAATAAGCAATGACGAATGAGAAAGACGAATTGCGTTACCTTGATGCAAAAATCATGAATTGTTTTTCCACAATACCTGACGTTTTCTTCAAATTGTATGTATACCTCATGAACGTATAGGCAAACACTATTCGGGCTTTTATTGTAAGTCCATAAGATATCCTTCGGAAGTAAATTGAACGTCCACCGTATAAATATCCGCAATATCCAGAATGCAACTCCAGTGAATATCCATCGCATGTATGTGTGTTTTCTGAGGATGGACGATATTCTGCTCATGTATTTCTCGCCGATTGCCCGTTCATTTCTAAATATCCAGCTACTTAGTAAATCTTTGTTACAGATTCAACACGAACAAAGACGGTTACTTGAGTATCGACGAGCTGAAAAGAATGATGGAAGTACTGGGAGCTCCACAAACCCACCTTGGACTGAAGGCCATGATGAAAGAAGTTGATGAAGATAGAGACAACCGCCTGTCTTTTCACGAATTCATGTTGGTCTTCCGCAAAGCTCGAGCTGGTGAACTGGATGAAGACTCTGGTTTGGGGCAGCTGGCCAAATTGACAGAAATCGATGTTGAAAAAGTCGGCGTTAACGGAGCTAAAGATTTCTTTGAGGCGAAGGTAGGGATAAATTTGAATTGGAGAAAGGTGAAAGTGGCGCAATTCACATGCTTGATTTCATACAAATAAAGTTATTTCTTTTAAATAATAGGAACTTTGCAAAGTATCAAGTTCTCATCTTGGTTCTTCACATTTTATCTTCAATCGTGGACTGCCTGCCCGGTACTGGCTCTTGAGTTGAAATCAAATTGGGAATGATCAGAATAGTACTCATCTATTTATCTTTTGATTTTTTCTAAAATTCTGATCATTCCCAATTTGATTTCAACTTAAGAGCCACCGGTAGACAGCTGTTTCGGCCTGTTGGGGATCATCAATACCGGGCAGGCAGTTCTCAACTGAAGACAAAATGTGAAGAAGCAAGAAGAGCACTTGATACAAATAACTGCATAAACGCCAGCAAGACATGAGTGGAATCACCTATTGGTGTGACACCCAAGTTAATTTGTCGAATTTGGTCGGTGTTGGTTGGTTAAACATGAGCTGCCAACTAGAATCTCATAACGCAAATAATAAGTTGCATTTTAAATTAAAGAATTCATTAATTGCCGCCATATAAGGCCCTCACATTCAGCCGGGATTCAACGATTCAGCAATTAAGATGAACTTGGATTAAGTCTACCCTGCAGCCTGCACTAATCCCTAAGCTAGAGAATTAGTTTGCACAAATATTTAATTAAAAATTTACTTTATGTGCGATTTTTAAGGCAAAGTCCTTTACACAACCATCTATATTAACATTTATATCATTCTCTATGGCAAGAATGGCTAAATTTGTTAGTCTAAAGATGGACATAGTGTGGTTTGCCGCTTCTTTTGCATCCTAACTTACCCTTTTTCTTGGCACCTACGTAACATTGCGCGCGGGTTTTTGAATATCTAAGTATTTTATTACATTTTCCAAATTAATAAACTGGCGCTTCCTGCCGCCCACTTTTATCCGTAACTAATTTTCTTACAGCAGTTTTGTCCTATAAGGACATTTTCAAACAATTACAATTACAGTTTATGAATGTGGACTTCTGTCATTAGACGTTTGTAAAGCTTTTTGATACAATCATAAAATTCTGTTGAACAAATTATTTGATATTGGTATTAGAGGTAAAGTGTTTTTATGGTTTCAAAATCATTCAAGTGATAGGAAGCAATGTGTCTTTGGAAAATAAGAGTAGTTCATTAAAACATTTTTTTGTGGAGTACTGCAGGGATCTATATTAGGATCTTGACTCTTTTTCATTTATATAAATTCCATTTCCAATTCCAGTAAAAAATTACTTTCGTTATTTAGCATTAATATTTATTTTTAAAATTAAAACTGGTGATGTTCCTGTATATCTACGTGACAAATTAAAGCATAACTTTGAATATCATGAATACAATACAAGAAGTCGCAATAACTTTCATATTCGTCAGACTAGTAATGTCAATTCAAATAATACAGTTTTCATTAAAGGAGTTCAAGCATTCAACGAACTACCGGAGGATATTAAGAATGCTACCTCTCTAAATATATTTAAAAGAAAATTAAAAGTGCACCTTTTAGACCTACAAAGTGTTTAGTATAGGAACCTGCTAATACAGTTTTTTTTTTCTTCTTTTTGTTTTATTTATTGTGCTGTTTTTATTTATATGCTTCAATATACATGATTTTAAATTTTAATTGTGACATTTAAATTTTTAACCTAGATTAAGACTAATATTGTAACTTCATTAGCTTGTGCTAAATAAACGATACATATATATTTCGAAATTACAGCTTTCTGGAAAATTAGTACTATTTCCTGATGATAAAACTTAATTCAATTGCAATGAACATTCAAATACACCAAAAGTGGAAGCCGAATCAAAACAAATAGAGATTTGGCTTAACATACACAAATTGACTTTTAATTTTGAAAAATTGTCATTTATGTTCATTGATAAAAAGCCCTGTAAGACAATTTAGTTTATTGTTGGTACACAACGGAATTGAAAGATTCACTAGCGTCCAATTTTTAGGTTTACATATAGATTAAACTCTTTCGTGGAATATCGGAGCTAGCTCCAATCATTGGAATCCTATGTAAAATATGAAACTGATTTCTTTGAAGCATCTGAAGCGAATTTACTTCATACTCATTCATTCAAAATTATGATATTTAATTAGTATTTGGGGAACTGCTTTGAATACAAGTTTGAAACTATCAAAAAGTTTACTGAATAAAGCTATTGAATGCATTTTTCATCTACCTTTCTTAGAACCAACTAAGAATTTATATAAACCAAAGGGTTTACTCGATATCGATTCTATTTATAAATTAAAAAATATGCACCTTTCTGCAGTTTGTTATAAAAAAATAAAAAACACTTCACTATGAAATTTATAAAACATAGGAATTTACATGATCATCAAACAAGACAAGTTCATCTGTTAACAAAAAATCTTAAATTTATATTTTCCAGAAAATCTATATTTTACAAAGGAATAATTCCATATAATGAATTATCAAATGAGGTTAAACAATTTCCAATACAAAAAAATTCAAAATAGCATTGAAAATCTATTTGTTTTATTAATTTACATAATCATATTTGTTTGTTTTTTTTGCTCTCTTTGAATTTATATATTTATGTATTAATATTTCTTATATTAATAATCCCCTGTAGAAACCATTGTACTTTCTTGGGAATAAATAAACAAATAAAAAAATGCACAGAATAATTGCATTGGCCATACTCTATATCTTTGATCCTTCCTAAAAGACGATAGAAAATGTCTTCCTCCAATATTCTAATCAAACATTTCAATTTGTACAAATGCAAAAGACACTGTAGTGACAATAATTCAACTGCACTTTCAATATTGCACTACATATTTTTGAGCAAAATTTTATTGTTACAGAAGTTTCAGATGTATAAAAGAGATTCTGATAAGCAGACATATTAAGATGATTTAATGTTTATAAGTCTATGGAAGTCAATACCAAAAAATTATAATTCACCTTCTATATTTTTCAGATTGTGGAACTTTCAAAGAAAAGCAAATTTGAAAATGAAATAAAACAAGAGCAAGAGGAAAGGAAGCGTGAAGAAGAGGAGAGAGCACTAAGAAGACAACAATTCCTCCAGAAAGCAGCAGTTTTCAGAGTTAACTGATTGCATTTCTCTATGACTGATATCATTTTTATTCCATTGATTTTTTAAGTAGGTCATTAAGTTAATTGGTAAACTATTAAGAATTCTGTAAATAGTGACACGAAGAAACTTACCTGTATCACTTTTATTTTTAGTGTTTCCGTCACTTCTATTCTTCCATGACTATTTTGAATATTTCAGTGACAAATGCACATTTACTTTTGAATATTCTTGTATATAGGGTTAATCTAGCAGTCAATTATTTTTGATAGCTTATAGTGTTAACTTAATGTTTACCATTTTACATATTGGATTGTGATAGTATTTTTGTAAATGTGATGTGTAAATTACAATCATTCAATAAATAAAATCGTATTTTGTTTTGAAAATTGGAACATAATTCTTCTCAAAACATTGGAAGGTATGTGATAACATCGTTCATTCGTTCATGAAAACTGTGTGAGTTTTTTAAAGTAATTTTTTTTCAAATTACGATAATTCTAATATCTCAAAACGATTGAAAATATGAAACTAAACTAAAAAACCTGAAGTATATTTTCTTTCAACTGAATATGTCAAACTATTCGAAATTGATTTTTATATTTTATTTTCCAAAGCATAACCGATTAAAAGCTCCTTTAACATCATCTTACATTTGAGCGTTCACATTCTAACACCCTGTCTATCAGCTGTATTTTTAACCAAATACAGACATCAAACACACGATCACAAACAAGAAAACTAGTACTACCTTGGCTAAAAGAGCAGCATTTTCAGTTTCAAAATACTAGACAATCAATGAAAAAAAAACAATTCAATTGAGCTTATTTATTGCTATCAATTACATTTATTCACAGTTTATCAGCAAAAAACATAATTGTAATTCAAAAAATATACATTGATAAAGTGGGGTAACTTTCATTAAAATATTTACAAAAAAAGTGTCAGAAATTAAAGATAAAAGTTATTTCATAAAATTTGAATTGAATTGTTGAAATGTCACTAAAGATTTTTCAAGGCCACACTTTCAAGCAACTCATACATGATTAATTAGTTACTGTCATGTTCCAAAAAATAAAATGAATGATATCAAAAATTGATCCCTAACCTAAATGTTACTAAGAGTATTGGCACTTTAGGGTGAATAATTTACAATATAAAAATATATCTTAGACATGTACTTCCATAAATAGACAATCATATCTTTAAAAATAACACAGTAACAATAAAATATTCAAAAAGTAACCTGCAATAATTATTTGCATATCATTTGTAAGGCACTTTGCGGTTTCCGACACAAATTAGAATTTTCGGATGTTCTAAACTACAAAAAAGTTGGGGTGTTTTTATGTCGCATGAACTGTAACGTTCTTAAGTTTGAATATCAAAAGGAAATTAGAAAATCTGCATCAAAAATTAAAAATTATTGTCCCAACCGGAATTGTCATCAGGTGGAGGCACGTTTTCGTCGGGCGGATAGTTATCAAAGTTCGATGTATCTGTGACGTTTTGAACTCTGGGCAGGATTGGTGGAGTGAGCGTTCGACTGAGAAGTCCTTCCCAATTGAATCCATCAAACCACCTGAAAATTCAACATAAATAAAGACTCAGTTTCATGACACACACAAACAAACACATTAGAAAACTAAACAAGAATATATATAATGGCACTCTACATTCAGATACTTAATAGTGTTGAATATATTTCAACACGCTTTTATTAGCTTCACTTTGTTCATTACTGGTGTTTTTTCCAACACCAAATTGTTATTTTTAACACCTCGACACGTGTTTCGATCACCAAGTGATCATCTTTAAGAGGAAGATAAAACAGTTTTATCTTCCTCTTGAAGATGATCACTTGGTGATCGAAACACGTGTCAAGGTGTTAAAAATAGCGATTTGGTGTTGGATAAAAACTTCAGTAATATTGATTACTACACCAAAGGTTCCAAACAGTACATCATAAGTTCTCTTTGTTTGTTTGTAACCGACTCCTTTGGACTCTATTTTGACTAATTTTAAACGGACAGATTTATTTTAAACTCTGTACACTTATCAAAAATCGGTGACAATACAATAATTTCATACATTTATCTCATTATCCTGATCAGGATCGCCAGGATTAAATAATATCGATTGGTCCATTGGCCGAGTGGTTTAATGCGCAAGTCTTAATGGCACAATGCAACAGCCTCACCATTGTTATAAATACTTGAGGAGCTGTTTGTCAGATTGGAGTCATAACAAAAATTAAATTTGAAGCATTCCAAGCTCTTTTAAAACAAAATAATTTTTTAGTAAATAAATTTATTCTGATTTCAGACTTATTAAAATTCATTTGTTTGTCAAGCTATAGGACTTATTATTTGAACACAATCTTAAATTAGTTTCAAATTATTTTTAATTTTTCAGTTTGTGTTGCTATTAAAGCATGTTTTTTTTTTGTTTTTTTAGTTTTTTAAACTATTATTTTCCTTAATTCTTGAATCAATGTTCAAATAACTATAAAATTTCATGTGTTATATCTATATTCGAATCTGGTAGCAAAAGTGATATGAATAGTTACAGGCCTATTTCAGTTCTTCCTACTCTATCAAAAAGCATTGAAAAGTTTATGAATGATAGGTTTATAGATTATGGCTTTCAAACATGATACTGTAGTAATGAATTTCATTTCTGATATTCAACAACAATAAGATAAAAAGAAAGATTTAATGGCTACATCCATCAATTTATTGATATAAGCATCTTTGTGAAGAGTTCATTTCGAAATCAATCACTTCCTTCCTTTCTTTAGAAGTCTCCCACATTTTTTTTGAATAAAGATGGAAAAGTAGAAAACCAAAACACTTCTTTGACAGTTTCTTTCATCTCTTCGGTTATTTTTAAAATTTTGTTCACATTTATTATTTAGTTTCAGTTTTATAATTTCTGTATATATATGAACATGAACTGGGCATAATAAACATAAAAAGGTCAAGTTGATTTTGATCAATAGCAAAAGAGTACAAAAAGAATGATCATTCTCCTTTATAGCCGTTGGAATATACTTTATTGATGAGCTGTTGCCAAGAAAATGACAGATTCACCTAACAATTACAAAAGTTTTGAGTTTTACATTATTTTTTTAATTTTTTTGGATTTCTAGTGAATAGTAATAATAATGATAATATTCTCAGGAAACTATTACAGCTTATGTTAGGGAAATTCAAAGTATAATAATTTAAACTAAACAAGAAAAACAAATACTTATTTTTATTTTGAAAAAAGAAAACTGTAAACGATCAAATCAGAAATTAGAAATGTTAAAAAAATAACAGAATTATTAGTATATCAAATTCAGAATGTTTTTGAATATTTTTTGAACCAGCAAATATTTATATGTTTTTAAGGAAATGAATTATATGTTAATTCTCTTATGAAAAACTATTTTTGTTCCAAACTGGTTTTTCAGACTAAGGGATGTCAAAGAAGTTTTTAGGTAGGTATGATGATCATAACTAGGAAAAAAATGTTTAAACACTCCAATAAGCATTGAATACTCTTCTTTATTGAAAACATATTATAGTACTTACTTGTGCTTTTGAATATCACTGATACCTCCTTTTTGATATCCTAATCTTTCAGCAGGATTGTCCCTACATAATCTTTTTATGAGAGCTTGGGCATTCCTTGTTATCGATCTAGGGAAATCAATACCATCTATTCCTTTCAATATGATGTTGTAAGTCTTCATTGGATCAGAACCTTTGAAAAAAAAGACAGATAAAATATCCAGTAACAAAAAAAACTATACTTTTCTTGTAGTATTGATAGACCAAAGTAGGTCTTCACTGAATATTCATTAAGTGAACAAAAAAGCAATTGTTTAAATTCATTGTTGAAATTGTTGAATGTCAAGATTGCTAATACAAAAGCAATAAAAGTAACTTTTTTGTGATTATACTTAGTGATACGAACATCCTGTAATGATTCGTTTTTAAATGAAATATTTTGAAATAACTATACACAGTTGTCCTTCATTATTTGCAACCCCTTTTTTGCCTGGCTATCTCTGGTGCCATCAGCGGCCATGGAAATCCTTCTAGAAGTACCTACCTCTTCTTAACATCATTATGGAAAGAGAGGTAAGTAGTATTATCTTGAAGTTATACACGAGAAGCAATACAAAGAAAATGTCTGGTACTGTGGAAAAACAATTCATGGTTTCTGCACGTGCTTACTTGACATTGCTTGTTCGTAACTTTTTGGCCAAAAACAAGACTGTAATCATTTCTCAGCCACCGTTTTCACAAGATTTGACACCCTGCGACTTTTTCCTGTTCCCATGATTGAAAAGACTTATGAGAGGACGGCGTTTTGCGACGATTGAAGAGATGAAAACTGAATCACTGAGACAGCTCAAGGTCATACAAAAAAATACATGTCCGAACTGCTTTGAGGATTGGAAGAAACGCTGGTACAAGTGTATTATATCTGAAGGGAACTACTCTGAAGGGGACGAAATAGAAATTGGTGAAAAAATATTTTTTGAGAAAAATTAAAATTCACCTTATTTTTCGAACTTACCTCGTACAAGTAGGTACGTTACATATAAAATAATTAAAGTAAATAACAGCTTCAATAGGGCACTGAAGTATCCAGTGAGTAATTCTGTTTTGAATGTGTATCATGAAAAATGGTAATTTTAGGGATGATAACTTATATGTAAAAATGTATTCATCATTGTGCAATAAAAATTTTCATATTTCGTATACCTATAGTGAAAGATACAGTGCAGAAATAATTAACAACTTGTCAAGTCAAGTCAACTTCGTCTCTGATTTGATTGTGGAGAGATTGGAAGAAACCCAACTTCACATATAAATCAATAAAAAATATTCTCGCCTTAGCAAGCAACGTTCAAGTTGGTAGTGAACTATCAAAAAAACTCTCTCTATAAGCTTGTAATGTAATTAAGCTGCTGATTTTATGATTATGGAGGGCGCTGCAAGCGCTAAAAATATGAATGGAGTTGAACGCCCTGCTGAAATCACAAAAGATATCAACTGGGCACTCACCTGTCTCTAGAAAATTAATAGTTTTTTTTTTGTAAAATTATCAGGTGGCAGTGTTAGTCAACGTCTTTCGGTAGAAATCATGCACATTCTCAGAAAACACACCCAATAATGTCAACAGTCTTTCCAGAAAAGCCTACTCAAAAATTTTAGAAGAGCAATAACGGGTCTGTAGTTCTCCACTGAAAGTTTGTTCGATTTTTTATTGATTTATACAACTTTGCCAAGCTTCAGATTACTTATAGAACACCCTGTAAGAAATGAAAGATTAATCAGGTAATTCACTGACTCAATGATGTAACTGAGTGACTTATTTTAAAATTCCAGTAGTTGATCCCATCTGACCTGAAAGATCACTCGCTAAATAAGTTATTCGGCTTCATTAGGGGCTGGATTTGCTTGGAAGGTTGAACTGACCCAGTAACTTCGAATCTATCAACCAAGATATGTGTAAAGTTTCTGCAGGGAAACTACTAACTACATTGGGTGGGGTTAGGTTAGGTTATGTTAGGTTATCTACCAAGATATCTGTAAAGTTTCCGCAGGGAAACTACTTACTACATTGGGTGGGGACAAAAAACATATCCTTACCAGTAAAAGGTGGTGTACCGGTCAACAGTTCAAACATCAAAACACCCAAGGACCAATAATCGGCACTAATGTCATGACCTTTGTTCAATATAACCTCCGGGGCGACATATTCAGGCGTTCCACAGAAGGTCCATGTTTTGCGACCAGTTTGTAGTTTTTTGGCAAATCCAAAATCAACTAATTTGACGTAACCACGAATGTCCAGCAACAGGTTCTCTGGTTTCAAGTCTCTGTATATTATATTCCTTGAATGCAAGTAATCGAATGCTTCTACTACGCAGGCAGTGTAAAATTTCGTTGTTGCTGAAACGAAAAAGAGAAATATTACTAGTGAAAATTACAATCTAGTAAGTTATAATGCCTGAAGTATATAATACAGCTCTTTGAGTTTTACTTTTGGGCTCTTTTGAGTTTCACTTTCGCTTTCTAAAAATTATGTCAAACACACTGAGAAAATGTATCATCATATATGTTCCTAATGTTCACTTTGAACAGTATATAAGGTTAGGTTAATTAGGTTGATATCGTGGTAATAAAAAAACTCACCGTCATCGAAATGTCCTTTGTCTCTCAAAACGGTCCAGAGTTCACCTCCCAGACAGCTCTCCATCAACATGTACAAATATTTGGCATCTTTGAAGGTCTTAAATAACTTAACAATAAAATCACAATTCGCTTCTCCCATAATTTCCTTCTCCGACATGATATGTTGCTGTTGTCGCGTTTCGACGATTTGAGCCTTCTTCATTTGTTTCAGGGCGTACGACTTCGATGGTCTACCGTTTATTTGTACCAGTTCCACTCTACCGAATCCACCTACTCCCAAGGTTGTCAGTATCTTCAGGTCCGACAGAGTAACGTTGTCGTATTCCGAATTGACCCTTGAGAAAAAATTTAAAAAATGTGAATAATAAAGTCTTGGTTTAATAGTAATTTGATAAAATAATGAAAATTGTGAAAAACTAAAAAATAACTAAGTCAAACATAGGTGAAGAAACCATGGAAAAAATAGAGAATGAATTTTATCAACAAACATTACTTATTCAATTAACTCTTGATAAAAAGCCATGTATTGTAACAACTGTTAATCACAATTGTTCATGACATATTTCAAAGGCATTACTGATGAGGTGTTTTTTTTTCAGTATTTATACTTTATCAGTTATTCGTTAATCATTTCTAAAAAACAAACCATGAAAATATACCAGCTGTGAAAAGTATAATATTATGATTCACCAGATTTTTGCTCATAATATAGACTCTAATAGTGTTGAAATGAGAACGGTGATAAATATGGGCAAAAAGTACCTACACTATTTTTTTTATGAAGTTTCAGGTTTGGCCCTAGATGGATTACAGGAATGAAGATCTGTCATGGATGAACCAAAAAAACCTTCAGAAGGGCATGGAAATCAGATATATGGGACAAATTAAAAAGGTTCCTAACAGAATATAATAAGGAAATGTTACGAGAGATTCGTGGAGAAGGTTGAGCAGACTTGGTGCGAAAGTAGCGATTCACGTTCATTCCACATAAACGCAGTTCTTCAAATGAAACAGATCTTAAAGACTGAAGTTCGAGGTGTACTGAGTTGAACCTCAAAACAGTGAGCAGCCACAGTCTGTCATGTATTTCTTGGTGGAATCAAATGTGCCACTTGAACACCTCCCGTGAAAGTACCTACAAAATAGAGATAAATCTTCAACCCTTTTTCGATGTTCCAGACTATCAAGGTTGAAAGTGATGTTCGTGTCTCCAGTCAGGCAGATGGCTCTTTTCTGAACGGAATCACAATACTATAAAGAAGGTCCGATCTGAGCTTTATAAAGCATCAGAAGTTGCTGAGGTATGTAGTTTTCTGGTTCAGTACAATGTTCCAAGCTTTTGAGAAGCATATATGGTGTCCATTTTAACCCCCAACAAACTTATCAAAACAGAAAGCGGAATTGTCTGTCCTGACCTCATTTCATCCGGTTCGGAGACATTTATCTTTTTGGAGGAAATCGATGCCTGGGTTTTCGTTGTATTGCATTGGATTTGGTTACTTTCATCCCCATTCGAAATCACCTTCAAATCCTCATTAAGATAAACAACCTCCTGCTACCGGAGAAGATATGCATCTGCAGCCGATATCCTGGAATCCAAATGGAATGACGAGACAAATAAATCACAGATCTAAAGCCAGAGTCCTGGAGAAAATCAAAACTGAAGACCACTAAAAGGGAGGACTGGTGGATTGTGAAGAAATCAGCTGAGTCGGATGAGTCAACTCATTTTATTAACCATATAAGTCGCTGGGACTAGACTACATTTATGCGGCAAAAAGGACCGAAACCTCATTTTCAAAAACTTTGTATTCAACAATTTCTGGATCTAGGATAATATCAAGATCAAGGGGACAGCCTAATATATTTTATACAAATGTGAGTGTGAGGCAATAGATCACTAACTTGGACAATACAAATTATGTCCAATATAGTGTGACAAATATCTAACAAAGGACGTGTACAAACTAGTACACAACATAGGACTGTATTGTTGGAAAAGGGAGACTTGAAGGAAATGAATAAGTAAAAATAAGTATGAATTGAAAGGGTTACTTTTTTAGGAGAGGCTAATTTTTGGTGAAGAAAGTTTTTGGCTTTCTACTTCTTCATCTCTATATAACACAAAGTGGGAATCTTCCAAAGAAGGAATAAAGCGATCAATTTCAATTTGTATTAGGATGAAGAAGTAGAAATCCAAAAACTTTCTTTTCCAAAAATGGGTAATAAGGAAAGAAACAACAAATACTGTATTTTTTTCAAGAAAGGTTGGTCGGGTAATAGAATAAATTTTTCTTAAAAATCAATTGTTTTCTTGCCAACGTTTCGAATTTAATTAAATTCTTCTTCGAGGCTCGAAAAAGAATTTAATTAAATTCTTCTTCGAGGCTCGAAAAGGAAATTCTTTGTGTTGAAAATATAACTATTTTGAAAACATCAGACATATTAGTTACATAATAAAAATAAAAAACAGTAAAATAAAAAATTTTCGAGACAACACTATATATTTAATATGTTTGATATTTTCAAAATAGTTATATTTTCAACACGAAGAAACTCCTTTTCGAGCCCTGAAGAAGAATTGTTACAATCTAAGAACAATATCGTTTATAACAAAATGTTGATACCACGGCCATAGCGAAAAGAAAAACCAGAGGGGGGAGGGGATCCACAACTCCCAAATTTCGAAAAAATGAAAGCCTAGGAATTAGTTACTACTTAGTATATTAATTTTCTTACTGAGCTATCCAAAGATTGGCTGAATGCTTGTGCCCGTTAGGGTATGCACAAACAAAAATAAATTTTGATAATTATAAAAATAATAATGGAAATTATTCTAATTTGGACCTAGCTCCTTGGTCTTCCACCATATCCACCATGTATAGGAATATTCAATAATGAAAGGAACCTAAACTTAAATAATATCGTGCTTATTGTTTTCTACTATTATTTTTTCTATCTTCAAGTCCCGAAATTTCCCAACTTTTCTAAGTCGAAAAAAAAGCGAAAAATTGGGAATTTCGTCACTTACAAATTTGTGGACTGTTCTCTTACTTGGAAGAAACTGAACTTTTGTGAAGTATTCAAACAACTCAGAATTTCGAAGTATGGGATCTCCAAGTTATGCATGTTGGGAAATCCCGACCTTCTCCTGGTTCTTTCCCTTTTCTTATTACCTCTTCCTTTCTTTTCTCCCATTTTAATTTTTTAATTTTTATTCATTTTTTACAATTTTTTTTTTCAATCTTCACGGCCCAAAATTTCCCAACTTTTTCCCAAGTCGAAAAAGCAGGGGGGAAGGTTCCCCCCATCCCCACCATGGCGACGGCCCTGGTTGATACGTCTAGTGGCTTTGGGATCTGGGACTATTAGTATTTTGACTTTTTCTAAATTTTTACACTTTTTTGCAAAGTTTCAGTATTCTCATTGCCAAAAACTAACGATTCAACAATCTGTTAGTAACAGGAGGTGCACCTACTTCATCTACTAATAATAAATGAAATATAATCTAAAATGGTGCATATACTGATAATTATAGGTTAGGTATATTTTATGATATTGCTCAAGCTACTTCGTTTTATAAAGTGATATGCAAGGTCGAAATTAGCCTAACTATAATAGTGACATGTAACATTGAACGTACATTTAGTACGTTGAAAATGTATCACGACGTGGAATCAGTAAATGATGGGAGACAAAAAATAGAAGGGGCTACTGAATTCATTGACAATGTCATGAACAATTAAGGGCAACAATCTACACACCTTGAGTTTTCACTTGAACACTGACTTGAAGAAAATATTTCTTAATGTTTCTCTGCATATGATATGAAGAAGCAAGTACATTCTTGCTTCCTTTGCCAGCACCCGTTGCGTCTACAAAGAATACTTACCGCTACTTCCTGGAAGGCGTGAAAGTCAAGTCATCGCTATGAATCTATTACAGTTTTTGAAAGTAGAAAGAAAAGAAATACTTGAGAAACTCACCTTCTTCTGTCCACCTGTTCATCCTTGTACTTCGTTCTGATTTCATCCAAGTTCGATATGAGTTGGTTGAAGGTATCTCTATCGATAACAAGCGTTGAAACTCCTTCAGGATCATCCACTATGACGTTGGCCGTTCTCAAGTCATCGCTGTTGAAAAATAACCCGTGAATAAAAGTTTTTAACGCAAAATCGATTGGATCTCACCCTTGCAGCGCCTTTTCCCCGAAGAAATCTCCTTTCGAGAGGTGCCTGATGAATTTCTCTTCGTTGGAATCCGGCATCCTCATAGTGACTTTGACCCTTCCTTTGCTGATGATGAAGAAGGTGTCACCTCGAGCGCCTTGCCTGATGATGTAGTCTCCATTGGCGTATACCGTTTCCTCCAAAACGTCGGAAATTTTGATCAGGGTATCTTCGGGGAGGGTTTTGAATATTGGAACACTGAAAATAGATGAAAGAGTGAATTTCGTCTGATATGACAGATCAAGGAACGTTTTGGTGTTTTGTTATGGATATTATTCAACCCAGATGTTTTTATACGTTTTCAATGGTTTTAACAGCTTCGATAGTTTAATTGGTACATTGAAGGAAAAAGAATATATTTTTAATCTTCTTTGGATCACTGCTGCAAAGAAAAATGTAGTTATCAACTTTTTCACTTCCCCCAATTGTTTAAAACATTTTTTTTCTGTGACGGGAAAAAAGTTTGACATTTTATCTCTGACAGGTAACAAAATGTCACTTTTCATGAAATTATTTTTTCCCGGTCCCTGTGAAAAAACTGAGTACTCACATCGGAAAAGTCTAGGGATATTTTTAAAAATGGCAATAATTTTTTTTAGGACGNAGAAGTATAAATAAATTTAAGCAAGACATCGAAAACATTTCAATAGATTTAGAACCATGTAGTGGTAGTGATTATTTGAACCAAACGGAATTATATGTGGTGGTTGTATGTTTAAAAAAATATGTTTTTTTTGTTAACCAGCTATCGCTCCCCTACGAACGACAACTCTCAGAAGTCATAACTTGTGCGAGCAAAGGGCTAACGAGGTCTTACCTTTCAACGTGTGATTCCTAACACGGGTTGGACGATAACAAGTGAAAATCGAGCAACCTGGGGCTTGAACCATCGACTCACACATAGGCCGATTGACTGAGTGAACAAAGCACCCACGTCGAACCGACCGGCTACCGTCGAACCCGTATGCTAGTAGATTCATATAAATTTTGATTTTTTTTTGACATCATTTCATTCTATGTTGTTTGTGTACAAGCTGTGATAGTCAGAATATCTTTAAAAAAAGATTATTATTATTATTAAACTGATGTTGGGATGGGTATCTGTATCTGTAGAGTAGAGAGGGTGTAGAGAGTGTAGGCCCACAGCACTTAGGCCACATGTGACCCATTGTACATCCTCCCGTGGAGTTGTCCTCCTAGGTCATCGTCCATCCTGTCCTTTCCAGGAAGGTGGACAGGTCACTGGAAAACATCTCCTTTATATCGGCAGGTGTAGGCCGAGACTCGCCAAACACACTCTTGCATCCTTTGATTTCATCCCATCTATTTAGGGATTGAGCATGGTTGTGACGTTTGGCTAGTTCCGCAATTGTCGAAGTCATCAGGCCGTAGGTGCCATTGGGTCCTGAAATTCTTAGTTCAGCCGCTTACTTGGCTAAAGAGTCGGCAATGCGATTACTTTTACTCCTGTCGTGCCCTTTAACCCACCTCAGGATAATGTTATTATCTACTGAGGCTTTAGCTAAATCTTGGTGGCACTCTAGTACTATCCCTGAGGGGTAACACGTTGTCTGTTTAAGGCTAATAGGGCTTGTCTGCCATCAGTGCAGATTGTTATGTTTCTGCCCGAAATTCGTTTCCTGGTAATTTCTTTTGTGGCGATTGAGAAACCAGCCAGTTCTGTTGGAACCACGCTGGTATTTTTCCCATTCCCCACTTAATCCTGAGGCTAAGTGATCTGGAGTACACTCCATATCTTGAGCCTTATTTATTTTTTTGAGCACAAACCTGGGTTCAATTGCATAACTGGTTGCCTGCAGCAGAGGTTGCGCAGTGAGCGCTACTCGCCATAGGGTCAGCCTCAGTTGACCCATTCCTACTTCGAGGTTTACACCAGCCGTGCGCAATCGTAACATGACCATTAACGCAATCTCCTTAACGTACAGGTCCAGAGGTGTCAGACTAGTAATCAATTCCATTGCCGCGGTTGGTGTTGTTCTCATAGCTCCTGTGATGTTCAAACAAGCCAGTTGCTGTATTTGATATAATTTTTGGATAGCCGTTGCTTGTAGAACTTTCGTCCCCGTGCAATGGCTCCGTACGTTAACATAGGTCTTATTATGTAGATCCAGGTGACCACACGGGGTGATAGACCCCATGCGCGTCCCACTGTTCTCCGGCATTGCTCATAAGCCACATAATATGCTCTTTTCGCTCTACTCTGTAGGTGAGAGTTCCATGTTAGCTTCTTGTTGAGAATAGTACCAAGGTGTTTCCATCTTCAGAGAAGTTTAGTTTGCTTTTGAAGATTTCGGGAGGTTTTAAGCCCGATAAACTTCTTTTCCTGGTGAAAAAGACCATCTCAGTCTTCTTGGGATTGATCAACAGTGAGTGTTCTTTACACCATGATTCTATTAATTTGAGCCCATCTTACTCTCTACCGCACAGTGTGTTCAAAAATTTGCCGGTCTGCATGATAACTATATCATCTGCATATGCAATTGTGTACAATCCATTATTGTTGAGGTGATTAATGGGGGTATCCAGAACTATATTCCAAAGAAGGGGTGGGTGATAAGACCCCTCCCTGTGGACATCTCCTCATGACCAGTTCTCTCTTTGTGATGTCTTCTACATTGATACTTATTGCTCTACAAGAGAGCATCTTGAGTATCCATTCTCCTACTACCAGGGGTACATTCCAGGAGTGTAGTTGCTGGGTAATTGTTAGAGAGGTTGTTTCATCAAACGCTCCCTCGATATCTATGAATATACCCAGGGTGGATTCTTTGTTGTCCAATGATCTTTCGATTCTGCCAACCACATGGTGAAGGGCCGAATCAGTAGACCTTCCCGGAGTATATGCATGCTGATTCATGAAGTGGGTTGTGAACTAGTATTTCATCTCTTATGTACCGCTCACATAGCCTCTCCGTAGTTTTTATAAAGAACGATGTGAGATTAATTAGTCGGAATGCTTTTGGTAATGTGTAGTCTATCCTACCTGGTTTGGGTATAAATACTACTTGTATTTATCCACTTACTGGGAATATACCTCAGAGCTTTGATAAGTTTTTTATAATTCCATTTATGCACTGTTTGCTTTCATTTTTTATTGTTGTAGATATTCTTGAAAAAGGAAATAATAAAAAAAAATGTATCGATTATTTACACGTTCAGCAATACAAGCGTACAAAATATTTTTTTGCTGACGAATTCAAATGAATAAAGGAAGATACAATTGTTTTCTTCGATAACAAAATAAAAGAATAGAAAATCCACCACAATCCACAAAAAATAAAATTTGGTAAAAACTCAGCAAAGAAATTTCGTACAACCCCAGTCACTTAACGCTAAGTAAACGCAGCAACCGGATTTGAAAAAACGATTTTGCGAATTGTTGAACTAAGCGACCCCTTTAGCTCCCTCTGAATCTGAGTGCAATCAATTATCCAAACAAGAGCGAATGAATGCAAACAATGACTGTTTTGTCATCTTTTACTTATAGAAGAAATGGATCCTATATAAAATTATGTGTTTTATATCATATTTTACCGATGGGCATGTATAATCATTAGTCGCATTAGCTGTAATTTCTATTTTCTATTATTTCATGAAATGAGGAATTGAGGAATTTCTTAAAATGAATACTACATACGATCATATTCTTGAAAATAAAAAAACAAAAAGCCTTTTCCTAACTTTCGAACATCAACGTCAACAACATGACTTATATAGGTACTAAAACCAATTAGGAAAAACAGTATATTGTCTTATGCTGGTTTAATTAGATACCAATGGAATTTCTAAATTGGTGTATATTATTACTACAACAGATTATCTTACCTCTTCAAGAAGTCTGTATATTCTGCTTGCCTGATGAGTCCGGTCCTCATCATAATGGTCTGGAAACATTGTCTCTCGATGGCCCATAATTTACAGTCGGTGTGAGCTTTGATAGTGGCAGTTCTCTGGCAATTGTAAAGTATGGCTAATTCTCCCAAAACTTTACCGGCATCTAGGATACTTAGGAACTTGTTCTCTCTCGAAACCTCGACTCTACCCTCTGAAACAAAAAAGTTTCTATTGAACCAGAACTTCTTCATTTTGATGTTGGTTGTCAGATGCATCTGGTTGACAGTTAATTCATTGTGACACGGAGACAATCGAATATACTTTTCAGTGAGTTAGAGCTTCTTAGGTTTGTTATGGTAAGTGTTCAGTTCACGAAAAAAAAAACACGTCTTCATCTGAGATTAACACTCATCCTAAAAAATAGGTTTGGCTTAAGGGTAGTACTTATAATTTAATAATATGTTATACTCAGCTCAACAAATTTCCTATTATTAAATTTCTATTCTCGATTTTGGACGGCCGATTTTGTACCGGTCGTCCAAATTCCAATAGTGAACCACATGTGAGAACGGGTTTTTTACCGACCATTCCAGTCTCGAATGCTCGGTGAAATTGTAGTTACTACGCATTAACTTCGTTTTGGTAGTGCGTGCTAATTACGACAACAAAGCAAATGATTGTTTGACCGATAAAAATCCGGTGAGTGTGCAAGCACCCGCTACCAATAAAATATCGGCCGATTTTATACTGGCCGTCCAAAATCGGTGTGTGTGCAACTAGCGTAACGCTAATTGCACACACACTTGCAACTGATTGACCGATAAAAATCCGGTGAATGTGCAAGCACCCGCTACCAATAAAATATCGGCCGATTTTATACTGGCCGTCCAAAATCGGTGTGTGTGCAATTAGCGTAACGCTAATTGCACACACACTTGCAACTGATTGTTTGACCGATGAACATCCGGTGTGTGTGCAGGCACCCGCTACCAATAAAATATCGGCCGATTTTATACTGGCCATCCAAAATCAGTGTGTGCAACTAGCGTAAGCGGTGACGCGATGTCGAAGCCGATCCGAACCTGCTTCCTACATTCTTACACATTTTTTATTTTCATTAGGTTTTAGAGATTGGACAGGTTCGTAGATATCGGGGGATATCGATATTGTCGAGTGGCGAGAGTTTTGTGAATAATTATGGAAGAGTGCAGTGGTTAAGGTTTTGCCGAAAAAAAGTAATATTATCTACTGAGTTTAGAGACTTGCGTGGAATCAATATTTTGCCAGCATTATCAAAATTTTTAGAAAAGGCAATGGAATTGCAGTTAAGAGAATATCTTGAGAGAAACTCATTGGTGCCAAATATACAGCCTGAATTCAGGAAAGGTCATAGTTGTACAGCTGCAGTCCTACATATTAGTGATGACATAATGAGAGCAAAGGATCAGGGTAAGTGTACGATATTGGTTCTCCTCGATTTCAGCAGAGCATTCGATACCTTGAATCATAAACTCTTACTAAATATCTTACATTATATGGGGTTATCTGATAACGCTGTCAAACTTATGGGCAATTATTTGGAAGGTAGAAAGCAGCACGTTTGGTTGGATTCTCAAGTGTCGGATGATCTGGAACTGAAGGCAGGAGTACCACAAGGATCAGTTTTAGGTCCATTGCTCTTTACTATTTGCTCGTCAACCTTGCTAAGGAAATTTGAAACCTGTAATGTACATCTTTATGCGGACGACACTCAATTTTATCACAGTTTTCATCCAGAAGATGTCAAAGAAGCCTGCGGAATCATAGACTCTGATATTAGACACTTTATTGAACTAGCAACTTCACACTCGCTATTTATTAACACAAAAAAATCTGAAGTTATCATTTTCGGGCCAAAAATCAATAGGAATAAAATCATCAATTCAGTTGAAATTCACATAAATGCAGATACACTTCATGTTGTTGATGAAGCCAGAAACCTGGGTGTTTTATTTGATTCAAATATGAGGTTTGAAAAACGCCAACAAACTCATTCAACGAGCCTATGCCTCCCTCAAACTGATATATGGTAATAGACACTGTCTATCAATTGAATTAAAAAAAATGTTGTGTGAGACAAAAAATTCAGAAAGTCCAGAATTCTTGTTTGAGACTTATATACGGAATAAGAAGAAGAAACAGAATATCTCACAACCTCAAGGAAGTTGGATGGCTAAATATGAAGAATAGGAAAAAACTACATGCTTCCTGCCTCCATCATGAGATTCTCTTATATAGAATCCCTTTGTATCTACATAGCAAAGTGACGTTCCGAACCGATGTTCATAATATTAACATCAGATTTAAAGGCTCTTTAACACCTCCCATTTTCACAACTCAATTATTCAAACGCTCTTTCAGTTACCAGATAGCTAATGTATTCAATGAGATTCCTAGACTTTTTAAAAAACTGCCACCCTCTCAGTTTGAAATCAAATTGAAATTACATCTTCTTCAAAATCAATAAGATGATGAACGTTTCACCATTCCGCTTTTCTATCTTCTTTTATTTTTTTCCTCTTTGAGCGATTCCTGACCAATAATAGTTTGCTTAGTTTTGTATCATCGCCAGTCACTGATCTTCATTCATGTATTCATATAATTATGTTGATGCTATACTTCTTTAATACCCATGCAGATACTTTTTTAGGTTAAGTGGAAGAACAATTTAGCAGTTATTTGCATAGCTGCGAAAATTTAACTTTGCCTGTTACTATAACTTCATATATGTAGTTAAAACTTGATATTGTTATTTTTTTGTGTAGTTGTAGTATTAAAGACGATTATTATTATTATTATTAATTGTTAAACAATTAAAGTTTGGAATCACTTTTATGAAGATTTATAGGTAAGTGAAGGATATTAATACAGTATTAGAATACTTCTGTTTATCCACGTACCATTGTCCTGAAATGCATGCGCCCTCATTATACCCCCTACTATTGCTTCGATTTGTAAGAGCCAAAATGTAAAAGTACCTATATAGTTATATTGTTCAATATAAAATACCAAAGAATACTATGCATTATAATGACTCATTATAGGGGATGTGAAATAAATGAAAGGAGTTCTATATTATCACTTCAGAACAGCAACTTTTAACTTATGGGTAAATAGTATTTTATAGAGTTCTTGAAAAATACCTATTAAAATAAAACTTACGAAACATTCACATTTTTCAAAAATATTCAGAGCTCAACTTAGTGGTGCCATTTTTCGAGGCGTAAAGCGGGTGCTGTTTTAAATTTTTTCATCTCTGGTTTGGTCAATGCGTCAACTCGTTATCTGATCTATTGTATATGTTTATCATAAGCATATACATTGCAGGTATATTAATTGTTTGCTCCTTTTCAGAAAACAAAATTGATTTGAAAAACAACAAAAACTTGGCCGAAGATATGATAAAAGAATTAATACCCTGTATAGTTACTTCACGATGTTTCGATGACTAGTCAGTCATCACACGAAGACGATTGTGGATACTAACAATCGAAATGTTCAAATCAGAAATTTTTTTGCCTAGAAACAAGACCGTAATCATGCATCAGCCACCGTATTCACCAGATTTAGCCCATGTGATTTTTTCCTGTTCCCAAAAATTAAGAGACCCATAAGAGAGATGGAGTTTTGCGACGAATCAGGAGATAACCGAATCGCTGAAAAAGCTCAACAACATACCAAAGGTGTATATAAGAACTGCTTCGAGGATTGGAAAAAACTATTTGAAAGGAACAAAATGAAAATTGATGAACAAATACATATTTATCGAGAAAGAATAAAAAGTTACCTTATTCTTTAAAGAGGCAGCCTAATTGTTCCTTCAAGATCTACAATTTACTATACATTGTATTCAAAAAACACTGTGAGATTTTTACTAAACATTTTTACAAAAACGCAATACGTGTTGCGCAACGCAACGTCTCACAATAAAGTGTTTTTTGAATACGTTAGTTATGGATTTTCATCAAGTATCGGCCAACTCCATCATTTACTATATACCATCAAATTGTGTATTATTAACTCTGACTAAAGATATTTTTCGCGAGATATCGGTACGAGGCGTTATTTTTCCTTTATGTCCAATAAAGTGTCTAGTCTTGGCGGATACGCTCAATTGACGTGCCTCCTTAACATTTCCGTGTACGTCCCTATTAACTAGGATTTGTGAACTTCCGTTCTGCAGTCTGAACAAACACAAAACAAACATTCGGACTGAAAAGTATAGTTTGGCCTGAATCACTTCTTTGTTTTTTAAACATAGGTGAAAGTTATTAAAACGATTATTGATCTATTGGAAAAACTTTTTCCTTGTCAGGACAAGAATACTGTCTCTCGACGAGGGTTTCGCTACCAAGTGAGCATCATCAGGAGATGTTGATTTACCTAAATGATCAACTCAGATTACATTACAAGATTACTAGTCATAGAGTGGCTGGATTTAATTTTGGACATTTGTGAAATGATAAAATACTTTACTCTGTGTCCTAATAGTGAATATTGATAAATTCTCATTCTAAATGAAAAACGCTAGCAGAGTGCTCAAAAACAATAATGTAAATTTGTTATGATTTGGTATGGGCAGGTTTTCTATACTTTACCAGCTCCACCCTATTTTTTTAAACAAAAGATTTTGTGAGCTTTCGGCTATTTCATATCTGCAGGGTAATTCATTGAAAATGCTTGTTAAAACTAGTAAGAGAGAGTACGACGTGTTTGAGAACCTGAGAGTCTTGGGTCTTCAAAAGGAATTGGTATAGCGAAGGAGAAATAACGCCAAAATGACCCCAGCTAGACTGGTCAAGGAAAAAGCTTCACAAGGAAAAGTTTTAAGCTGAAAAAATTACAGACCAGATTGGAAGAATCTCAGAGAAATACGATGTGAAACCAATATTTAGGCCAAAAAAACCATCACACGAAGTCTAAGGTCAGCTAAGGGCCCTAGCTAACCTAGCAACACCTAGGATATTTCGGATTTCTTGTAACTGCAGGTCTGTCTACATTGGAACCACGAAAAGAAATGTGAGAATAGTCGAAGTAAACGAAATTGTGAACATTTAAAGTTGGCGGCACTCTCAAAGGCCAAAAAACCAATACATAGAAATGAACCGGCTGCGAAATAGTTCACGTGGACTGCAGAATTGGCGGTTTGTATTGGATACTTTCTACTAATCGAGTTTTATGATTGGCTGAAGAGTCATGAAATTAAATTTGAAGTCATATTCAGTTC